ACGATTAATAGTTGATTTAATTGGCTTTTTATATATAAATAAAATTTACATTCTACTCTGATATATAAAAAATATTATTTATTGATTTTTTTTAGAATTTATTTCAATAGCTTAATTAAAAATAGAATATTTTCTAATCTGATTTTGGTTTTAAATTTTATTCAAAAATGCAATTTGATTTATTTTTAGATACATTTTCATTTCTTCATTATATGATGAAGGTGGAGACCGATGAAATTATTGAAGCTCCCAAAAAAATCAACTAATCTACAAAATTATAATTTAAATATGTTCATGGATAGAATGAATATATTTTTTTTCAAAAAGTTGAGATCAAGGCTTTAGACAAAAATTCTTAGTAATAACTTACTTGAAATAGTGCGATTATTTGAAATCGTTTTCTATGCTGTAAGCCTAGCTATTTCTACTTAAGTATAATAAATGTATTAATGAACCTTAACCACTTGGATTAGTAACCAAATACCACTAGGTAAGTTGAACAACTTTTTTTTATAAAGAGGTCTTAGAAATACATTTTGAGCTTATATATTCAGTGTAAAAGTTCTAATATTAGTAACCTCCCCCTGATGAGTTTGAGATATGAACTTCGCGTTAATATAGAAAAGTTCTATCATTGAATTATTTTGCTTTGCTCTGGACATTTAAAGCAATGTTATGTCATTGTCTCTTCTCTTATTATGTCTAACTACTTATTAAGTATTGATTGGTTCTTAACTAAGCGCTATATATTTAGCTGCAAATAAATTTTGAGGATTTTAACACAAAAAAGTCTTAATTATTGCCGATTTTAAAACTTATAGATGTAGATTTAGCTCTTTATTTTCTTCATCTATTTTAAATTTATAATTTCTCTTTATTTTATGCATTATAGTATAAATGTCAAACTCCTTTTTGTTATATTAAAGATACTTAATTAAAAAAAACGAATTAGATTCTTACTATAAACTTTTGTTTCTAATTTTAAAGAAATTTTTCAATCTAATATATAGTTTTTGGGAGAATTAATGTAAAAATTATGGGCTTTAAGCATCAGAAAATTTAAAGGCATAAATTACAAATTTGCTCTCATTTTAGAATTTTTAAAAGACTTTTCTATATCAAAATACATAATGAAGTTATGTACAATACCAAGAGT